GGATGGATTGATGTATTATAGGCGTCTTTCAAATTATTATTTTTTTAATTTGCATTCATAGCACGAATATACATGTCGCTTATTACGAAAACTCTTCCCACAAAAGGCTTGTTTGTTGTCGTTGCCATTATTTCCAGGCCTGAATAGGCACCAATACTTTTTTGTTTTCTTCTAAGTTTGGAATCTACAAACACTAACAACGTCACACTACTCTTTGAAACGAGAGTTCGTTCGTTCGTTCGTTCATGTACCTTAAATTATAATTGAACGTTAAATAATAAAAATGTATACATATTTGTTATTTTCCAAAGCAAACATACACAATCACAGTTTTAGTTTACAAAGGTTGTTTGGAAAGTATGCAACAAATAGTTTAACTTTCCCAGGGGGGAATAGAACTTTCGGCTATTTTTTAAGTAGGAATGCAAATAATATGGTAATGATCAATGGAGTAATCAAAATGGACTTTTTGAATTTTGAAAATTTGTTTATAAAAATAATTTATTTTAATTTAAATTAAACATTTTTTTCGACAACAAAGTTTCGGCAATAAATGTTGCGTAATGCAAAATTTTAGAAATATTACGAAAATTTGTGAAAGAAAATGTCTTTTTAATAAAAACTTATTAAACGACCCACGTAAGTAAACAGCATAGAAACGGACATAAATATACATATATAAAAACGTCTATAATATTTACAAAAGAAATACGTCGTCGTTGTCTTTACTAAACAGTACTCTACTCATGCAAACCATTTTGTATTCTCTAGAGACTTTCGTAAACGACTAAACTTATTCGTCATTATTATGACTACTACTTCCTGAGTTGAGCTTAAACAAATCCACTGGGCAAAGGCAAAGTCAATAGCAACTGCAAATGCTGTAAACATGAATGAATGGATGAATATTTCGTGACGTTCTTAGGGTTTTCAATGTTCGTTTATCATATGCAACAAGAAGTTGTTGTTATTGTTGATTTTTTTATTTACACATTATTTTTTAATAACTCAAACAAACATTTTCATTGTTAATGAATTTGTAAGTTTTATTGAATGTTTACAAGAGTTGTTCGTTTGTTAGTTTATTTTTAGATTTAAAGACTCAATTTAAGTGTGTATTTTTAAATGTCTGTGCAGTGGCCGAACAAAAAAGATAAATATTTGGCAAAGTATTTTATTATTAAATGATAACAGAAGTTATTCTCAAAACTCAACAGAGATTTGAAATACACATTTGGAAATACACATTTGGAAGGATTTTAGAAAAATTATAGTTTTTCAATATTTTTCAATATTTACTGATAACACAATTACGACCTCAAAAACAGGATTTTGCTTTGAGTTCATAAAAAAAGGAACTAAAAATCACCACTACATTAGAGGTCAAATGCCTCTAAAACAAATATGCTCTAATAACTTGATATATGCTTCAAATATGCCATTAAAATCATATCATGCAAAATTGTGCTCTTATGGGTAAAAATATGCTGGAACGTAGAAAAGTATGCATTTGCATATTTTAGTTTCTTAGCTTATCACGTTAAGAAGTCATTATCTAAAATTCCTGGACTATACTGCGTTCAAAATTTCCCAAAAACATGTTTATATTAAAAAATTGTTTACATATTTTATCACAATTCTTATAAATGCAATGTTGTATTGTTTAGTTGTTATCTTGGTTTGTGTTTATTTTTAGTAAAATGATTTTTTTAATTTGAAAGTATAGAACCGGTAAAGCTGATAACTATAATTAGCAATTCAAAATGTTTATAACAAACTAGGGTTACAATAAGCGGCACATACATACATTTATATGCGAAAATGAATAATTCCCTGATTAAAATATACATTTTACCACAAGTGGCAAAAATTTTAACTAAAAATATAAACATTAATTTGTATTTATATTAAATTTAATTCTTATTAATACGCCATAAGGCTCTATTAAAATTACATACATACAAAAATGTGTACACATTTGGCGTAAACTGCTTATTTAGATATAATTCTAATTTACCTATTTCTTTTTTTTAGAATATAACGCATATCTTTTACACGTAACAGTAAAAAGACTGACAGACACAGTCTGACGAATGGACGGACGAATGCAATTATTATGTTTAGACATTCATACAATTTGTGTATTATTTTTATATAGTTTGATAAATGAAAAGGAAACGCTTGAATGCATGAGAATAAAAATGAAAAGATAGTAATAATCGTAATAGTCAAAGTAATAAAAAAAGTAAAACAAAAATAAAAAATAACAACTGTGTAAAAGAAGAAGAATAAATAAATTAAAAAGAAAAATGAAATTGGATACAACTACATACTATATTGTTTACACACTGTGTTTTTTTAATCAGTCATAGTTATGGTCGCACATACAATGTATTCCAAGTTTTTTTTTTACTGTTAATGATGTGACACGCTCCAGAAATGTGTGTTTAATTAAAAACATGGAAACACAATTTTCAATTTTTAGTTTACAAATTATCGCCATACGAAAAATAAAGCAATTTAATTTAATTGTTAAAGAAACAAATTTTAATATAACGAATGACTTTAAATTGAATATATTATGCTAAATTAATTTATTTTAAATCGTATAAATATTGACAGAATATTTAGTTAAAGAAAAAGGAAATAGAGCAAAACTAAGATATATCAGCAAAGAGTTAAAAAATTGATATAAAAATGTATAAATAAACTTTTTAATTTTTGGTTTCCACTAAAAAATTACTGCGAGATTTTTTATTCTGATTTTAAAAATAATATGTATTTCTATTAAATAAAATTTTATTTAATTTTAAATTTTATATATAGTAACCTAAAACGCAAACGGTCCTAACTATAAAACCAAAAAAAGTGATTTTATTAATAGAAAGCAAACGGCCTTTTCGACAAATATAGTTTTAAAGAAAGGCTAAAGAACCAATAAATCGTTTGTAAAAGCACGATTGTCAATTATTAAAACAAGTAACAGATTAAACCGCTAGAAATGTGTTTATAAAAAGCGCTGAATGAAACCAAACGTTTCATTTTAAATATTAACATTTTTAAAGTGTTAGAGAAGGCTTTTGCATTTTTGGTGACGATATACATACATACTACAAATATTCCTATGTAATAGAGATATGTGCCTTCATTTATAAATTTTTAGAAAGTTTAGAATACTTTAACAATTTGCTATAGTTATCAACTGAAGTAGATACAAGTATTTTATTACTGACAACCTGAAAAATGAAATATAATAGCAGAAAACGTTATACAACTAAATCAAAAAATAATATTATAGTTAGTGTATAACATATTTAACTAAAGTTGGTCTTTATTCTAAACTCTGAATCTGTAGCCTTAACATCTACTTTAGGATGGAAGAAACAAGCTTTTTAAGAATCTCATATTAATGCAATGTTAAAATAATATATCAAATACAGTAGTTTTGGATAAATAGAAAAAAATGTCAGTTTCACCAAATAAAGGATATTCATATAAGAGTTGCAAAGTCCTTTTTTCAATGCAAAAACGTGTTAAAAATTAGTACGTTACTGTTTTAGTATATATACATATCGCTCATTCACTAAAAGACTAGCATAATCTAAAATTTGGGTTTTTTATTCGTCATATGTACTAAAGTGCTTCATATAGGTTTAGGTAAGAAGGGTATCCACTCAAACAAATTTAAGTGGCTCAAGCGGGTCCGTCTGATTTCGGTCCCGTTGTGATGCTCTATTGGTCATAGGAGTCCTTTTCTATAAAAACTATTCACTAATTCCAGAGTTAAACCAAATTTATCCCAGATATATTCTCCATACAAGAGAGAACAGCAGAAAACAGAGTTCTCTGTTCCCAATAAATGTCGGACAGTAACAGAGGAGATGAGATATAGTCTCCTCCTCATTGTGACAATAAAATCACTGTGCAATTTAACTATTTATATAAAATTTAACAAAATATGTACTAAGTGTAGTAGCAAGTGATTCAGAGCATTTCCTATTTAAGAACCATCATTTGGAGGTGTTACAAGTATTGCAGCAAACACATAATTCCCATTTCTCTATAGTAGTCTACATATTTCATTCGGAAATATTAAACGACGAAAAATTAAAGAAAATATGTTTATTTAATAAGACATTGACTGCCAATCGTAATAAAAACGTACATATTATAAATATTTAAAAATAAATAAGCGAAAAATATTGAAAAAAGAAACTATGAAAAATTGCATTAAAATCGGGGTGTAAAAAATAATATACACAACACGAATGGGATTATCCATTAGAAACACAAACCCATAAGAAAATGGGGGTAAAACATAAAAATAGATGCAGCAAACAAAATTAAACAGTTGTTTCGTTCTAAATGAAAAGGGAATTTAATGAAAAATTTACTAAAAAAAATAACTGTCCTTGAAGAGACACAATGCAGGCAGGAGTAAAAACAGCGAAAGCAAAATGCACTTCACTGACAGTGCTGTTGCTGCTCTGGGTACACAGGAGAAACCTTCGCACGGACATGATGGCATGGTGGTAAACAACAGAACGACAAGCAGGCCCTCTAAACAAGCAGCTGATCAGAACAAAGTTTAGAGACATGTGTGTGTGTGTGTGTGTTAGAGAGCGTGCTGTGTACATGTTCTTTTCCTTTTTGGTGGCACTCAACCACAAAAAAGGTGGTTGAAATATTGATTTTTTCCTACAAATTTTATGTATTTCTCTTTTGATATTAAATTCGCTGTCTTATTTAAATTATCTTCGCCTAAAACAATTACTTCCTTGCAACTTCTTCAGGTCATTTAAAAGTGTTTTCAAAAAGTTTTTTTGCGAAAATAAAAAATATGTGTCTGGCAGGCATTTAGACACACAGGCAATAGCACAGTATGTGTCATACGACCGCACCCAAGGCTGTCAGACACTTAAAAAGTGTATTCCTCCTTCCATTAGTTGAGGAAGTCAAATACATTTTTCGAAATAGAAAAAATAATTTATGCCACAAACCTGCAATCACTGTATCGTTGAGATTATATTTGGTGCCAGTTTTTGGAAAATCTTTCAATTTTCTATTGGTCAATATAAGTTCTCCACTGAGATGGGCCTCCTCTAGTATGCGTTCTAGAGAACGTGCCAGCTGATGATGGTGACCCAGACCTCCGCCACTGCCTCCACCGGCTGGTCCAGAACTTAGGCCGCCTCCAACCACACCCACACTTGTATTGTGGAGCCGATTGTAGACGGCAGCTGTGGCTGCCATCCTCATTTAGACAATTTTTTTATTTATTGTTCTACAACAAAAAGCACTTGCACTCACTTTATTTGAAAACTACGAGATACAGAATCATAAAATCCTTTTTCAACTAAAAATATATTTGCATTTTGATCAATTTCAAATTTATTTTATTATTTTTAATATATTTATTTTTATTGTAGATATTTTAATAAAAAAAACTTCTTTGGCTTTTCCTTTATTTCTTATTTATACAAACACAATTTCTAAGAATTCTTCTTTAACTAAAGAGGTCGCCGCTCGTTTCTTTGGAGTGTCCACCTTCGACCGAGAGAAAAATCAAACTGAAACATTGCTGAAAAGAAACAATCAGAAATCAGAAAATTGTGCAGTGCTGCCATATGCAAAGAAAATTTTCAGTTCTATTTTGTTCCATATTCATAAAAAGTGCCGTTAATTAATAGCAATGATTAAATTTGTTTTTAAATATTAAATTAATTAATTTAGTATAGAACTTGATACTGGATATTTTGAAGACTAAAATTAGTAAAATTTTCAGAAGTTATTGTAAATAATGGACGTTTCCGAATTTACTTTCGTATATTCTCTTTCAATACAAAAGTATACTAAATACATCATCTATATATACATATGTATGTAATTAATTTGTTCATATAAATTTTAATAAAAATCTTTAATGAAATTTACGGTTGTACAATAAAAATCGTTAAATTTAATGGTAATGCAGTAAATTAGGGAACGTAATAAGAAAAAATATTAAAAACAGGGTTGTTAAATTGCTAATAACCAGTGCTGGATTATTAAATATGCTTTTCTTCAGAACAGGCATGGAAAATTTAGTACTTTAGTTATTTCATAAGTACCTTATAACTTCGAAAAATTTCTTTAAAAAAATACACTATAAATTGAAAATAACGTTTGTAAATGTATAAATTTATTTTTTAATTGTAAATGAAATTTCACTTTTCGATCAAAATATTCAAATTGAATTTATAGCCCATAATTGAATTTGCTTATCCTAGACACAACGTAAAAACAAAGCTTGTTCTAAAATATACATTCTCGACATGTTTTAAATCAAATCTAGTAGATGAAGAAGAAACATGGTACAAAGAAATTGCTTTTAAAATGATTGATATAATAATTTAAAAGTTTATTAAAAATAAAGCGTTCAGAAAATATTTATAATGTAAATATTATAAATATTTAACATACGAAAGTACATATTAGTTGTGTTTTGTTGCTAACGTTCAAAGGCAATTTCATATAAATTTAAAATTTATAAACGTTAGGAGTTAACGTGTAAAATTATACAAGTTAACTTTAACGTCGATAAATGTGCTACCAATTCAAAAATAAAAATACAAATATTAATGTGTTTATGTCAAACAATAAAAAATAAATATTTTAAAATAAAACTTAAATTAAAGAAAATTAACAAATAAAAAACCTTTTCAAGAAATTGTAAATAATTTCAAGATTTAGCAGATTTCTTTTGTGGAGTGATGCCAAGTCAGGTAATGTTCGTTTTGTTGCTAACTTTAAGCGTTAACACTCAAAAAACACAAATATTCCATGAGGACGTGACATTATTATCAACTATGAAGTCTGCATTACTTACATTTGAACTGTTTTGACAATTCGTTCGAAACATTTAAAGTGTATTTCTTAAAACAGTGTTATCCCCATGTGTATTCAAATCTGAAGCAAGACGAATTCAGATAAGGTGGTGGCAGTTCTGCAACAACAACATTTTACATGTATGTATTTTGATTTTGCATTTGGTTTACGTAGATGTCAGAAACCATAAGTACGGCGAATTCATTTGATGAAAAATTTTTGTATATTAAAAAATAAAGATAAAGATATTAAAATTTGTGAGGAATATATATTCTGAACTGAATTTGAAAAATTTAAGTGAGTGCCTGAAGTTAAGTAAAACTTAATTTTTTGTGAAAAATAAACATAAAAAAGTTCATATTCATGAAAACCGGAAGAGATTTTTTTTAGTTAATCACGTTATCTACACAATTTTAATGTTAACATTTAATAGAAAAAATATTTTTCTTAAATAACACATTTGTATACATACCAATTATGCCATTATTTAAATAAAATGATATTTGTTTACGAGATGCTTGGTATTTTCAGATTTTTCACATAAATAATTCAAAATATTAACGAAGTTTTTCTCCGTTTAACGGACATTTTTAAATATAAAAATGTAAACAATAACAAACTTTGACAGCTACGTAAACCAGGCGAATTAAGAAAAAAATTATCAGCTGATTGAATAACACCACCTTATATGAATTCGCCTTCATCATCATGTTTATTTTATAAACATTTACACTGTTTTACCGATATTACCACAAAATTAAATGCACATTTTTTAAATCTGTATTACCACATTTGAACTGTTATGACAACAATTGTATCGAAACATTTAAAGTATTTTACCAAGAACAGTATTATCCCTATGTATATAAACATTTTTAAATTATACATTATTACGGCCTTACCGACATTTTCACAAAATAAGTAGCTACATATTTGATTAGAACTAAACATTTTAAGACCAAATTAACGTAAAATAAAGTATAATATAATGTATACTATTTTTACATTAATTTTTGATCATTTGTCTTCGCAGTGCATTTTCCTGCATTTTGTGGGTTATTAAAATAACTCACAAGAAAACAATTGTGGGTTATTTTAATAAATATCAATCATTGATACAAATTAAAAAAACAAACATTTATCGCATTATAATTTCGCAAAAAAAAAAACTCAAACGGAAGGACCACTGTCGAATTCGGATATTAAAACGGTTCTATTGCATTAACAAGGTTTACTATTAAATATGTCCAAAACTATCCAAAGTAGAACTGCAAAAAGTTTGAAGTAAAAACGCCGTTTATTTTGCATAAAATTCAAACTGGCTAGGATTGATTTGACAGAGGGGCACTTTGACCGAAATTTTACACAATGAACATTTTTTGATGAGTCGAAGCTAAATTAAAATGATTTTGATGAATTCGATGAATATCGGTATACTGTAGTAAAAATAAAACACTGAGAGTGTAATATTGTGGTTTTGGGATGTTTTCCACGTAATGGGATCGGAAAATTTTATGAATATAAAATAAATAAATGGAATAAAAGATCGTTTTATGTATGAAAATGTCTTGCACAATGGAAAGCTGTACTATACAGTGGAGATAATATCTCAAAATGGAGAGATCTATAGGAAACCGGCGGCACTCCACAAGGAGGAGTCTTATCACCTCTTCTTTAGAACATTGCCATTAACTCACTACTCATGGAACTCGATTCCATGATGTGCAAGACTATTGCATATGCGGATGACGTGGCGGTCGCTGTCTCTGGCAAACATCTAACCACCATCTCACAATGCCTGCAACAATCACTGAGCCGACTGAGTCGATTGAGCTACAACAGTGGTCTCAGTGTCAATCCTGGGAAGACCGAACTTGTTCTATTCTCGAACAGATACAAGATTCCCTCCTTTCCTCTTCCTCGCCTGAATGGGGTAGAGCTTAAACTCTCCGACAGTGCAAAATACTTAGGTATCATTCTCGATTCTAAACTACTATGGAATCTAAACATCAAAGCGAGGGCCTCTAAGGCATCTATCGCGTTGTACGCATGTAGGAAGGCCATTGGTAAGAACTGGGGAATTAGTCCCAAGACTGCAAAATGGATCTTCGACATGGTTATAAAGCCTATTCTGATGTATGGAGCGCTTGTCTGGTGGAAAGCTTTGGAAAAATCCACCTACTGCAATCATACTGAAGGAATAATGCGAGCTTCTACACTAATGATCACCGGTGCGATTAGAAGTACGCCATCACAGGCGTTGTTTCACACTTATGCATTGGTTGCCTGCCGATCTGATGGCCAGGCAACTGGCATTAAACTCGGCAGTCAGACTTCATGCTGCCGGAATATGGAAGCCAAACCGACATGGTCATGCTTCTATCCTGGGAAGTATGACTTACATCCCCGAAAATATAGATTACTGCTCTCCCAGGCCCCTTCCGGACAAAAGATTCACAGTTAGGATGTCAAATGAACCATCCTTCTCAGAAGGCGAAACACTTGACATCTTTACTGATGGATCTAAGTCCACTACAGGCGTGGGTGGTGGTTTCTTTATTCCCCGCTTAAATAAAGCGGTATGTTTTAAGCTGAACGATAACTGCAGCGTCCTACAGGCTGAAATCTCAGCTATAAAAAGAGCGGTTAACTGGATGAGGTACTATAGGATATACAATGTTAATATCCGAATTTGTACTGACAGTAAACCTGCTATAAAGTCTCTAACTGGTGTCTACACGACATCCAGACTGGTTCGCGAATGTCGGGTGTCTCTTGACGAGATGGCGAACCATTCGTGCCTGGAACTACTCTGGGTACAGGGTCATTCTAACATTCCCGGAAGCAGAAAAGCGGACAAACTAGCAAAAACTGGCTCCCGCCTTCATATAGGGGACACTGACACACTAGTCGGTGTTCCGCTTTCATGCTGTAAGGTTTTTATTCAGCATGAACTCTATGGGTCTGCTCAGACCAGATGGTCATCACTGACCTATTGCTCTACATCAAGAATGACCTGGCCTCTCTATGATGAGCGAAGGCCTTTCTGTCTGATGGGGCTTCCAAGGATGAGACTACGCAAACTGGTAGCCATCCTAACAGGGCACTGTACTATAGGTGCGCATGCAAGAAGACTAAATCTTCCATACAATGATTATTGCAGGAGCTGTCAAAGTGAGGAAGAAGAGGAAACTGTAGAACACTTTCTCTGCCTCTTCCCTGCCCTAGCTAATATCAGGACTGAGTTTCTAGGCAGTCCAATATTGCATGAACTTGCGGCTTTATCTAATATAGACATATATAAGATTGAATCGTTCATTCGTGCCTCTGGCTGGTTTAACACCATGTTAATCACGGACATGTAATGTCCCATAGGTTGGTCTTCTCTTGGCAGGATCCGCTATAGGGTATCACAACGGGACCATTAGGACCCAAGTGAGTCGGTCAAATGGCCGACTGCCTCAATTAACCTAACCTAAACTAACATAGGAAACCGATTATCAAAGGCATATAATTTGCGATATTATAGAATATAAATATACTTTTTAAGCAATTTGTGTCACTGATTCACATTTATTAAAATCATCCATAAATTTTTTCTTTAAATCGCAAGAAAACCTTTTTAAGAGCCATTTAGTATATTAAATTGTATAAAAGTGCACTACCAAGGAGAATGATCAAAAAATACTTATAAAATTACTTTATATTACGTTAATTTACACTTAAAATGCTTCCAAGTGAAAGTATTTATTCAATAATATTGAATTTGTTTACTGTTTCTTAAAATTAATAAAAATTAAATATATTCAAAGTTATGTGCCTAATTTTGTCTATGCAATTTTAGGCTAATTTATATAATTTGATCGAAAACAATGTATTTTCATTTTATACAATTTTATATTTCATTGTTTTTATAATTTAAGACGAACTTCTATCTATCTATCTATCTATCTATCTATCTATCTATCTATCTATCTATCTATCTATCTATCTATCTATCTATCTATCTATCTATCTATCTATCTATCTATCTATCTATTATCTATCTATCTATCTATCTATCTATCTATCTATCTATCTATCTATCTATCTATCTATCTATCTATCTATCTATCTAATCTATCTATCTATCTATCTATCTATCTATCTATCTATCTATCTATCTATCTATCTATCTATCTATCTATCTATCTATCTATCTATCTATCTATCTATCTATCTATCTATCTATCTATCTATCTATCTATCTATCTATCTATCTATCTATCTATCTATCTATCTATCTATCTATCTATCTATCTATCTATCTATCTATCTATCTATCTATCTATCTATCTATCTATCTATCTATCTATCTATCTATCTATCTATCTATCTATCTATCTATCTATCAATCTATCTATCTATCTATCTATCTATCTATCTATCTATCTATCTATCTATCTATCTACCTATCTACCTATCTATCTATATATCTATCTATCTATCTATCTATCTATCTATCTATCTATCTATCTATCTATCTATCTATCTAAATGAATAATTTTAAGTATAAAATAACCTTTTTTTTAAATTTTACTGAGCTTTTTCTAACATAAAAGATCGTGTATGTACATTTGGGTGTCCCTCTATTGCTAGTCTACCAGTATTTGCCCAAAATATTCATATTGATGCTAAAGTTAGTCATTCAAAATTTGAGCATTCTACATTTTATTATATCCTATATACTCAAAATTTGGGAACTATAGCTGTTATATTATTTATTTTAAAGTAATAAATAAAATTCTTAAAGTATTGTCGAATTTAAGTTTAGTTATATATTGTATTTTATAGTTTAGGCAGGTAGACCCAATTCCCTACAATTTAATTTATATAAAATGGTTCATTTATGTTTTTATGTCTGAAATAAATGGCTTCAAAAATAGCAATTCTAAGAAAATTTTATAAATTTTTAAACTGCATCATCGTACATACAGCAAACAGTAAATGGGACGGACAATTTACAGCCTTATTATGTAAAGCACTTCACCTTGCGTTGAAAATATTTTCATAAAAATTTATATGAAAAATGAAGTGGGGGGAAGGGATTTTCACAATAACCCCCTATGTCTAATTTATTTAACTTTAAAACTATTATTTTACCACAGAAAAGTAAAAGAGAATTGTGTCAACTTTCGTAGAAAGGCTTTAGACTTGAAATCATAGCTGTAAAATTTCAATTACGATTAATAATCAATTAAATTATTTTTCAAAAATAATCGTAATGATTATTTAATTCTCTGGTGTAAAATTATTAATTGATTACGATTAAAATTAATCTAAAAATAATCAGGATTAATTTAAATTAATGAAAATAATCAAAAATAATCAGAATTAATCAAATAATTAAGTTGATTATTTTCAAGGATTAATTTCGATTATTTTTGATTAATTTCAAGATATTTGGTACAATTCTCTATCTTTTTACATTACGTGTAATGGAAAACTGTTTTTCAAGTTACACACTATTCGATTATATGACTGTTTTATTGAAATCAATATATTTATCAAGTTTATTTCAATTGAAAATCTTGATCTCAATACAATATATTAGAAAAAAATTTCTGCAATCTTTTCGAAATGGGTCTCAAAAAATCCATAATTTTTAGCGGATTACCGGAAAAAAAAATTAATTTTTCTTAAGAGTTATTTTTGAGAAGTAATTATACTAAATATATGGAAAATAATCAAAATTAATCCTTGAAAATAATCAACTAATTTTTTGATTAATTTTGATATTTTTGGATTATTTTCATTAATTCCAATTAATCCCTGATTATTTTTAGATTATTTTAAATCGTAATCAATAATTAATTAGAAAAATTGAAAATAATCCTTAATTAATCATTAATTTTACCTTTTTAATAAAAATAATCTAAATAATAATAATTACGATTATTAATCATTATTTTACAGCTATGCTTGAAATACATTTTTTAATATTTAATTTGAATTTGTTATCAGGTAACTTGAAATGTTATTTTCACAATAACACCCTATGTCTAATTTACATAACTTTAAAACTTTTCAACTTTCGTAGAAATACTTTAAAACTTGAAATATTTTTTTTTAATATTTATTTTTTCTTTGTTATCAGGTAACTTGAAATATTATGCCATTTGCAAAATAACTAATTTTAGATATGCACAAAATGCGATTTGAGAATATATTCTCTAATGTTGAATTTTTATTTTATTAAAAGTTTACAAAACCAAATTCCCATACAAATTTTGTTTCATAAAACCAAAATATACAAATATGATTATTATTTGAAAATAGCGGCATATATTTTTATATTTGAGCGATTATTGTAATAAAACTCGCAACCATCCAAATTCTACAATCTGGCAATACTTTCTCTCTCTTTGCTGTTTCTTCTCATCATGTTCCCATTCAAATGTGACACGGTTATTAAACGAATTTATTTTAGTGCAAGAAAAATTTCGTTTATTAAACTCACGTTGTGATTTGCGTTTCTTTTATTTTTACGATAATTTCAAAACAAATAAACAGAACTCAATAAAAGTATGATAATTTGTTAACTGGTCGTATTGTCGCCGCATTATATAACACACCGAAAATAAAGAAAATATATTTTCTCGTAAATAGCGATTTTATTATTTATTAATTGTAATAACAACAAACAACCGTGTCATAATAATAATTGCACTCGTGTCGTTGTGTGTATTTGATGAACAATAATTGGTTTTTTGTACGTTTGTGAATTTGTAAATGCGGGTGAAAAAGAAAAATTAGTGCAAATAACGAAATTAATTACATACAAAAATTAAAGTTTCCTTAAACGTAGACAATCTTTAGATATAATTTATGTATATTAAAAAAAATAATAGAAAATAAAAATATACCTTCGGAAATACAAAGCATAAATAATTAACTAAAAATCAACCCCAATGTTGAGAAAACCGTGGTGCGTGCTTGGGTATATAAGATTGTGTGAATAAAATCATATCTTGAAAAATATAACCGTTTAATTAGCATAATAAAGATATTAATAATTTATTAACTAACGCATAGATAATAATAAAGGTCAACCAGCATTCTTTCAAAACAAAAATAAATCTAAATTGAAATTGTTGTCTTCTGGTTGTTGTTGTGTGGAATCAAGACCAAAAAAACGAAGGGGTATAATCAAATATATTGTTTATTTTTGCCAATTTTGTTTTGTGTTTCATATTCTTCGCTCAGCTGTTTGCTGAAACAAAACTGTTTGTGTAATTTTTTGTTTATATTCATTGTCTATGTGTGAGTGATTCGAAGAAGAATAAGTTTGTAAAAGGGTGAAGAGAGCTGTGCATGCTGCTTTACCAAGAGTTACCAACCCTATTTTCATATTATTGTTTAATATACCGTAAAAGTATAGTACAACATCAAAAGGTAAGTAATAACATTTTCCTTATAATTGAGTAATTAGTTGTGGATTGGAAAAATATTGCTTCCAACAAATTCCAATCATTCCACGTAAAAGTGCTACTAAGTGAAATTGTGAAATAAATAATAAGTGTGAAAAAAAAAATATAAAAAATGAGTGAAACCAACGATAAAAATAACGATGCAGCAAGTGCCGCGGTGGAATCATCACTGCTGCCTCCACCGGCAACACCAACATCAACACAGCCACCACCAGCGTCCAACTCTAGTGCCACGACACCAGCCTCGTCAGTGACGGGTGTGCCACCCAGCCGCCTAAAAGCTCCCACAAATTTTGGGGGCTCTTCATCATCAGTTTCGAAAATTGGCCGACCATGTTCACATGCTACCCCAAAAGCTGGGCCACCACCAAGAGGTATGTAAAAATATATTTTTAAACTTGTGAATTTATAGAGTAATATAATTTTTAAATTGAAAGAAATTCACTTTCTGAATAGAGTCGATTTTAGGAATTAAAAAGCTGGAAGTAAATACATTCTTTCATTATGTATTTTCATTTAAGATATGAAACATAAATGGGAATAAGTTGGGTAATTTTGCAGGAGACCTAAGAACTTCATAAAATCTAAGAATTAAACATTTGTTTCTTTTTTTCATATAGATGATAACACTTAGCTCATAGATATGCCTGTGAATATTTCAGTAAAAATTATAGTCAAACCTTTCCAAAATTGGACGTTATAAGCTGGCTAAAGTTCGATTTATGTTGAATGTTCTTATCAGGTGTGTAATAGAATCGAAAGTGGGTATATTTCAGTCTTTTGATTTTTCATAAAAAGTCAATTTGTAAAGTGGTTTGTACTTATTATTTTTTAAGTTTTTTTTACCAAGGAATAAAAGTCTGTGGTAAGCCTGGCACAGACCTGTGAGATTATCCAATTTCTTTGGAATTGAATTTAATTGTTGATAATTTTGCAATAATGTAATCTGGAACAAACATCTTACACAATTTAATTCTTAAGATTTCTTGCCTATAGAGTGTAAAACTTATAGAATATACCTAGGTCATTATTTTGACCCACAATTATTCGTTCATATTACAGAAATTTCAAAATCGTCTGCCACTATTTAACATTTTTAATTTTCTAGCTTCTTTTTTCATGGTTTTAAACATATAAGCATTACTTTTTATCGGGTTTTCTAAGTAGATTGATTAGTTGGTTTTGCAGGCTGCACTCGTATGTCCTTTTGGTCCCTTTGTGTTACCTGTAAATAGATAGAGAGAGAGAAATGGGAAAGAAAAAGTTGTGGTAAGATACGATAGTAAAGACGCATTGAGATGAGAGATTCAAGAGATTAGTAGTTAAATGGATATTGCGACAGACATAGTGAGGGTGATTAAATATCGGAGTCGGATATCTCCTAAGGTAGGATAGCAAAATAGATGATGTTCAATTGATTGCTCTTCTTCCTTATGTTGACAGTTTCTACAATAGTCATTGTGAGGTATTCTAAGTCTCATTACAGTGCCCTGTGATGGCAGCTATCATTTTGCTGTCATCTATATTTCAGAAGATGGTGCGTGCGCTACTTATCGAGCTTTATCCAGCTTATCGACTTCATATTATGAGTCTTTTGCATACTCCTATCGGAATACCACAAAAACTGTCTATGTCCGAGCAATAGTGAACCTGTATTCGTGATGCAGAGTATAAACCTGTCAGGGACTTGATTGCAGCTTGACTGTCGGTAAAGATTAGGATATCTCTGTTCGATATCCTATGATACCAGAGCCAGTTTGCCGATCTTTTTATGCTTGATATTTCGGCCTGAATTTGACTACAAACATTACTGATTCTGAATGTAATCCTCATTCCATACTCTGGAATGAAGATGCCTTCTCGGATAGGCTTAGTGGAGAGCGATCTTCCTCCAGTCCAGTATTTTTCGAAATGACGAAACTGAAGTTCAATTCAATTCAATCTGAATGCCATTGTGAGTTCCATTTTCCTGACCAAAAGGTCTGTTGAAATACAGTTTAGCAACGTGAATAGGGATTTTGTGATCTCATGATCGACATTCTCCTTACATCTTTGTCAAGGAGATTGCAATTTTAGTAGTTTATATTTAGTAGTTTCCATCAAAAGGTAACTCCATAAAACAGAATTGGCCGGCTGACCGATTTAAAAATTCATTTCACTAGTTCGGGTTTCATTCCCTTATTTTTCTCCTACAGCTTTCTTGTAGATCTACATTGCCGTCAAGGCCTTTGTAAATCTTGCTATGATATTGGGTTTCCATGATAGTTTTCTATCGAGAATAAGGGCTAGGTATCTAGGACATACCGAATGCGGGAGTACTACTCTGTTCATCGACTTAGTATTTTGAGTGTTTTTTCCAGCCTATGTGATATTGTGTTCAAATGAATTCCTCATACTGCTATCGCAATATCGTCCGCATAGGCAACAGTTTTTGTAAGCAGTTTATGCCAACATTTCACAGTAATGGAGACGGAACATCTCCCTGTTTTGTGCCTCTGTTTACCTTTCTATGGATTGCTACTGTGCCCATATTGGAACAGATAATCCGTTGTTCTAGAAGATCCTTAATGATTATTATAGTTGAAGTATCTACATTGTTCTTGTAGAGCTGATAGAATTATATCAGGTTTTACATTGTTAAAAGCACCTTTTATACCCAAAAAGGCCACAAACGAATTCAGGAGATTTCTCTATGCATCCAAGTAGAGAGTGTAATACCTTCTCAACCGATTTACCCTTGGTGTATGTGTGTTGAGAGAATGATAGGTGATCAATGACATTCTAATATGAGCATCAATGATTATCTCTCTCGGTCTAGTTTCATAAGTATATGTTGGGAAATTTAATAGGTGTTGAATTTTTCCCAGGCGATGACGACTTGTAATATTAATTAATATTTGATTAATGTATGAATATCATTAATTCTGGTGCATTGATTGTACTATACTTTCTTACTTGTTTTGCTATGAAAACTTTATTGCAATCACAAATGGAACAATTTGTTCAATTCAACTTTAACTCTTTTGATAATTTTTTTAAATGTATTCAGTGATTAGAGTTTTACCTCTGAAAAATAGACCAAATTTTCTACACAGGGATCTTTAAAATGTGTAATACAAAAGCAGTTATTAAAAATTTTTATAGAGAAGTGTCTAGTAAACCATTGTAAACTTCTAAATTACGGGGGTATTAGATTTTCTGGTTTATATCCATTCTTTTCGAAATTAGCTCGTTAACATTTAAATTTGGGTTTATTATTTTAAAATACGTGATAATGTTGATGTCACTCACGATTTTTAAAATGTTTTGCAGATTTAATTTTTCGGCCTGGGTAATCACCAAACCGTAATAACTATAACTAGTTGAGGCTATTTTAAATTTACTAAGTAGGATTACAAAAGTTTTGAAATTTTTTACTAACTAGTTTAATATTAGCCAACAAGTTTGACAAGAAAAAATTAAGATTATTCGTATAAATGTATACATTGTATAGAAGAATTTGTTCATTCACATTATATGAATTCTTTTTGCGTTTTTCTTTTAGTAAATATCCCGTCTTTTGCACAAATAAATACTGATATAAAAATAAAAGCAAAAATAAAATTAGACGAGTTATTAAAATGATGACATAATCATAATTTAAATTTAAATTAGAGACAGAATAAAAAATAAAATGTGACAAAAACTGAATGGTTGCAGAGTAAATAGAAGTGGTAAAACTGGTGTCTGACGTAAATTCTCTCACATTTAAAATTTCAATTAAAAATGCATTTGAACCAAAAAAACGTTTTGTGTTTCCAACAACTGTGGTCCACTGTATTTACTAAGTGGTTCAAAATGTTAATTGTTTCTTGGTTTTATTTGTTTAATAGAAATTGGCGCACAGTTACACTCATAAAACCCACATTTCATTAAATCAATTAATTACGAGTCTTATTATTAGTTCATACTCTTGTTTTTATTCTTTTGACAATTACAACTACAATTCAATCATAAATGTTTGGATCTTTTTGATCTCTTAATTATTCGAAATAATACAACCATGCGTAGGAGTTTGTTTTTGTTTATTTATTGTTGAAACTATTTACTGAATTTTGTAGAAATGCCGGCAGCGCTAATAAACTAGAGTTTAACTCTGTGTGTGACTTGCAAAGACTATAAGTAGTTGTTTTTGAATATAATTAACAGATCCCAATTGTACATTAATTTGTTTACAAATAGACCATTTAAAAAGCAATTAAACTGTATAGAGATTTTTTGTTGTTCTTTTTTGATTTGAGTTTATTAATTAATGTAAAAAGATTGAATGAAAGAGTTTGTGGGAACAAAAAATGTTTTAATCTATGTATATGTCTTAAGTATGTCATTTAAAAGAGTAAAGTCGTAAACAAAAGTTGTGTGTTGCTTGTTGCAGTTTGAAGGACCATATTATTTAGTATTGAGTATGATTGAGTATGTATCAGTCCTTTGGTTCTTAAACGACCATAAAATCCGGAGTCTGTCTATCCACATTGACGGCTTGTTGGTCCTCTCTCAACACCAGTTTCGAAGCTGTTTTTATAAACTTGGTATCAAATATAAAATACTAAGATCGTCCTGCCCGAAAGAAAAGTGTATCCCAAGTCAGGGTCCAAATATTTCCACGGCGGCGTTGAAGGGAATGCTACTGAGATCCTTGTTTGGTGGCGACACCGGGCCTAGCAAATCTTCTAGTGACTGGTGATCAAATCATGACATGAAAGGAAACAGGGAAAGCCAAGTCCAAAGTATGCCCCAAAAAAGCACCCTCTAAAAAGGGTTACACCAACAAAAGCTGCGAGCAACCTCTGTCATTCGAACCAAGTACCTCAACGGCTGCAAAAGCATCCAATTTTGGGTATTTCTGACTGCTAGTGAAGTAACTGCGAAAAAGGTTTCGGATTCCCCAGCTAATCTCCCAACCACATTAATTCCCATATATGTATATACAAAAGGTCTCTTTTAGAAAAGAAGTACTATAATCGGAACGATATTCGAATACATATAAAATTTTACGAGTATCGGATCATAATAGACCATAAAAGAAAAAAAGAATCTATTAAATTCATTGGATTTCAAAAATGCGCAATTCGTTGCCATATTACAAGTCATATGATGATTTAAAATGTTTAAATAAACAAACATGTGAAATTCTTACTTTTAACAATTTAGAAACGCAAATTTAAATTTAACATTAGGTGTGGGTGTCTATTTTTCTCTTCTACACGCGAATGAAATTGATTCTCATTTTGGAATAATTTATAGCATATTTCTGAATTAATCAACAAATTTATTTGACATAAATTTCAAAATTTGGACATTTATGTCAAAACTACATACAGACAAAAATACTAAA